AAAAAAAAGAATTACATTATATGTAGAATATTAAATGGAAAGGAAGGATCTATGTGACAGGTTTGCTTTCAAGGCTAACTATCAAAAAGTATGTTTTTCTGCAAAAGCACATTGGAGAACATGCAGCTGTATATGAAACTGCATTTCTGGATTCTATATAAAGATAGAGTTTCTATTTTTTTCAGGGTCTCCATAGTTAGTATTTTATTAAGTATGGAGTTTGAGTGGACATAACTGGGATAGTTTTGCAGGTATTTCCTTCAGTGCTGGTTCTTTAATAACTCAAGCAACAGAAAACTACAGGGGAAAATTGAGCTTTTGATTTTGTAGTGTCTTAAATTAACATTCAGTATCTACAGTTTGTGCAGATTGTTAAAATAGCCAACTATTCATACTCTGGGCTTGAGAGGTGTCTTCATTTGAATTCTCTTATGATTATGAAGTCTAGCAGGAGAACCGTAATTTTGAATTTTATTTTTTCTCCATTCTTCAAGTAAGAATTAGTTTGGAGGGAAAGGAAGTATTCCTTGTAAATTTTAATTTTAATTTGCTTTGTTTTGCAATATCTGAATGAAGTTCTGCTTAAATTGTGCTCGCTAAGCCTAAGTGATTTCAAACAGGTCTCAAGACAATTTCACTGAATGTAAGTTACTCAAATACAAATCCATTTTTGTAGCTGAAAGAGGGGGATGTTTATAACCTGTCATGTCTTATTAACTTCACTACTTTGTTTTTAAAGACTCAAGAAGAACCAAGTGAATAACTTCTCTTCTGGGATAGGTGAGAGGAATTCCAGCTTTTGGTTAGTTAACTGCAGAATTACTTCAGTTAATTTAAAAAAAAAAAAAGTTATAAAGTGATATCTAGCACAGATGCCTTAAACTGACTGCACAGCCATAGATGGAGCTCTAAACTAACAGCTCTCAGAAGTTATAGTGAATCTGTTAATTTTTCAATCACTGTGCTGTGAATCTCACTGAAACAAATGATGGATGTTTGCATTGAAAGGAGTGGATGGTAGCAGTGACTTTCCCCACAGTTTCTACCATTTCAGCACAAAATCCAGCCTTTTGTCAGTGGCCTGTTCTAAAGAAATTTAAATGAACACATACCAAGATTTGAAGTAAATATTCTATAAATATGCTGAAGTGACACATCTCAATCCTGTGTTTGATCCATGCCTTTTGCTACCCATGAAAATGCGAATGTAAATTTGGATTGAAATTGTATATACGAGTAATAAATTTAAGATATTTCAATTTTTCATTGGAAAATGTGCAGATTAAGCTTTTAGTGTGTGTAATTTTGTGATATCTTGAAAAATTTTATAAAAACAACAAAAAACCCTAACAGTGTTGGATATCAAGTTTGTTTTTTTTTTCCCCTAAAAGTATGAAGAAAAACAGCTTGAAAGAGTGGAAGGCTGTAGATTTGCATGGGAATTTCTGCTGCACTGAGGTGTTGCCTGATAAAGGCAGAAGTGCTTCTTGGAATGCAAGCCAGCTTTCTTCAAAAGAACCCAGAGAAGAATATTGATTTATTTTTGTCATATGATTGGGTATTTGTCAAAAATATGCCAGGTGAATGATTAACATGGGGCAGGGCAAGGAGAGTGAATATTTCACCTGCTGTCCCTTTAGTGAGCTGGAGAAAACCACCACCTCATCCATCCACAGCTCTGGCTGCCTCTCAGGGATGCCCCTTTTACTTCCTCCAGGCTTGAATCTTCCTTCTCATTCCCTGCAGACAGTGGAAACAACAATCCTTGCACTGCTGATGGTTTCACTGGCTGGTTCAGGAACTGAGGGAATTGGTGTATCCAACATCCCAGAAGATCCATTTATCCCAACCTTAATTATGTCTTAGGACAGTGATCTGTAACTGAGCACTTTGCAAGTCTTGGACTTTGTCTAAAAATTCTCCCATGTGCTTGCTGAAGAATTTTCAGGTTTGTCTTTATTTCTTCTGTTAACAAATAACCATACAAACCCTTCAAAGCGTTACCCTGCCTAAACCCAGATTTTTGTCATGCTCAAAACACTGGATTCTGAACAGCTTTTTAAAATGGAAGATTCAAGCTGGCTCTTGTTGCTGTTGGAGAGCAGATCACGTTTTCCTATGCGTGTCTGTGTTTTAGCAGGGATTGGGATTTGTGGGGCAGATAAAGCACTGGGATGGATGGAGAGGAGTTGGTATTCATGGCAGCCTCCACGCTGCAGCCTCTGCTTCGGGCACTGCTGAGGTGACAAATGACACTCCCTGGGAGAGGACACTGCAGAGTGGCTGAGGATCTGACAAATCCCACAGCTACACCAGGCTTCATCTGTCACCTCAGGAGTTTTCTTCTCTGCTGCCCTCAGCTCTGTGCTTTTGGGATTTCAGGTAAACAACCCTTCACCTGGCACACAGGTTGTGTCAAAGCAAGCTTACACCCAAGCTGGGAGCACCTGTTAAGAAACATTCACCTTTAACCATCAATTAAAAGCCAGGAGAAGGATTTGCCTTCCATCTGTAAGCCAGCCTGCAAGGCCAGAGTTTCATTATTGCTGATTTTTAGGGTGAAACGAATAAATAACCAAATCTTTTGTACTATTCCATACACAGGAACAGTACCTCTTCCTAGAGGAAATAAAACCTCACAAACTCTTGCTGTGTTGTCAAACAGAATTTTGTCAGAAACTCAAAACCTTTAAAAGGTTTAACTGCAAAAACAGTAAAATCAGACTGATTCTGCAGGAAGAAAAAAAAAAAGTTAGAAAATAGCTCAGCACTGAGAAATTTAAAGTGCAACAGCATCCATAGCAGAGTGCCAAACTGATTTTATATGCTGTGTCCAACTCAGAATAATAGAAAATTTAAGCCTTAGTCAAGGAAAAGTAGATCTAGCTCAATAAAAAGATACAAAAAAGCACAAGCATGTGAGATAATTCTGTAGTCCTTACTGGAAATTCAAAATGTTCAGATCAAGTAACAACATGGTACTTTTTTTTCTGCTTAAACCAAGGAGGTTTGAAAATACATCTACTGCCAAAATGAAGCATTTTTGGGAAGTGGTGTACAAAAGGAGGTAGAAGTGTCAAAACAAATGATGACTAAAACTAATTTAACATCCAGTCTAGCCTAAGAAAACAAGTAATATATTAAACTGGAAATGTATTTTGTTTCTGAAGATGAGACATTCTTCCATCAAGACCCTCATGTTGCTTAAACAAAATTTACCACAGCATCAACGTGCCTGTCATTTTACCCAGCAGTGAATTCTGACCAAGAGATTGACACAAATGTTCCAAGGTTGAACGCCTCCATCAAATTTTTATAATTACACTGAAGTTTGGATGGATCTGATGTTATGCTAAATTATGTGTGTCAACTTTTTATAAATATGAAAACTACAGTGTGCTTTAAAGCACTTTTTTTAGGTTGTCAGCTTTAGATCACTAGTGACTTTGTATGTAGGATGGATGAGGTTAATTTAAATCCACTAGACATTAAGTCTATGCAATGTTCTGCTGCCATGGGACAAGTTTTGTATCCTTCAGAGTTACCATTATGGTGCTTCAAAGCAAAACTCACCCTGTACTCATCCTGTTGTTCAGCAAATCCTCAAAATTAAATTTTAAACATTGTCCTCCTAAAGCAATTTTGAAACTCCAGCAGCAGAACTACATGTAATTTCACTGGGATTAAGCTTCACTGAATTCCTAAAAGCAAGGGAAAGGAGAAGACTGCACTTGGGCTAGTAGGTCAGAGCAGATAGAAAACTACTCTCCCTTCAAAAGTTACCGTTCTTGCAGCAGTAGGAAATTAGATACAAGCAGGAGCAGCAGCTAATGCTACAGCTGCACTGAGTGAAGAGCAGAGAAACTCAGAGCCAACAACTTGCAGCTATGGCTCAGTACAGCAGAAGCTGTAACACATACATGTATTTTCATGTGCAAGCCTGGGGACAAACACTTATCTGATTGTCCCAAGGGATGTTGGGCAAGCTGCCTTTTCTTGTTCCACAGCTACACAAGCTGGGTGCCATGATGAGCTGCAACAGCTGGGCAATAGCTACAAGTGAAAGGCATACTGTAAATGTACTGTAAAACCTTTTACAGTGAGACTTGCCTAAAAGAAAAAAATTCCCTAGCCAAGCATCCAGATATAGAACTGGTGTTTAATTACTCCCAGCCTGTGTCCTATGGTTAAAGGGAGCTTTTATTTATCCTGTTGGTTCCCACTGCTCCATCTAAAGCACATATTTCTGGGGTTAGTTCCAGCAGCATGCCCAGCATTTCAGCACAGTTAGATGATCAGCAGACACTCAACCCAAGCCTGGACACTGCTCAGCTTATAAGGATGTGACTCAAACAGAAGCCAGTGCTTGCTGAATTCACACCCCCAGGAGTGTCCAGGCTGCTCAATTTCTGTTACTTCTTCCAGGCCAAAACAGTTCTGTTTCAAGGCTGGAGATGCAAGAAACAAGAGTTCACCCTGCCTTCTAGGACATGTGAGTTACACACGATTCCACAGAGCAGTTTTTGTTTATTTGTTTCATTTACATCAATATGAATCTCTTTCAAATAGGAATAAAAAAGTAGCCATCCCTGCAATTTCACAGTTTACAGTTCAACAGAATGTATATATATATATAAACTGTTACTGTAGACTTAGCACAGGTGAAATCTGCAACCAGAGGTACAAACACAAGCCATGAGGCTGCTGCTCTTGTCCTGTTAATGCCATGGGACATATTCCTTACACTGTATGTTGCACTTAGTTACTACAATGCTTTATTTTTATCACTCTTTCCCCACCACCATAAATTCACTGGCACAGGTTTAGTCTCTTAAACACAGCTTACCTGGGTAAGTCTTTGACATTCCTCAACAGCTGGGACTTGAAAGGGAAAATAACTCCACCAGGACAAAGAGCAGTGGCTGCTTCATCTATCCAAGACTTGTCCCCCTTTTTATTGCACCACATTCCAGCTTCCACACAGAGTCTGACAGCACAGGTGGTATTGTACATGCTTTATTAAAATGGTACTCGTATTTACAATATCTGCAGAACCAATCCCTCCCAAGTCTTGCATTCAGACAGACAGACACACACACAGACACACGCGCAACGCCCCTTCACTCTACGGGGGTGTGAAGGCTATGCTCCCAAAAGTTAGGCAGCTTCTGGAAGAGGAGGAAGGGAGACTTTTTTTTTTTTTTTGTGTGTTTGTAATTCCTTAAAAAGAAGCATGGGAGTATGCATTTGGCCATCACAATGCTAATTGAAGTATATGTAGTATTAACATATGGCAGTAACACTGAGTGCTCCTCTTTTACATTCTATACACAGAATGACATCAAGGTTTTCCAGTCAACACAACATTCCAATTCAGTCTCACTGCTGCTTGTAGTGACTATGAAACCGCAATTTGGGGGCTGTCCCTTAAAACAATTCAAGTCTATGGAAGCTAAATAAGGCACAATTAATATTTGATTTGATTTAGAGGATGGGAAAAAAGGGGAGAGGCAGGTTTCAGATAATAGTTGTTGTAGAAGAAACTTTTTTTTACCCAATCCTTTTGAGAAAAGGATGAATTTAATCCCCATCCTAATCTACGTGGACTTCTCTTAGAGAACTGAAGGATTCTGCCGGGCTTCTGACACCCACACACAAAACAAAACTGGAAATTCACATTTTAACACCAGCCTCAGTAGTCTCACCTACTGCTGCTGATGTGGATGAGTACATCTTTCTTTTAATGCTGAAGGAGAAGACACACACAAAACAAGATTCAAACCTTCCTCTGAGCTTGAAGATTCATCTTTTAGAGAGCTTGTAAGGTACACTAGTTGAAGGCTTCAGCTTACTGATAAAAAGGAATAGCATTTTTACCTTTAAATCCCTGGCCCCTCTTCACTAACGAAGCCTAACCAGACATTACAAATAAACTGCAACAAAAAATTTGGCAGCACAAAGAATGTCTAGTATTCAAATCTTCATTTGTGAGTATATTATTTTCCTTGTACAAAACCTGTTGAATGTTTTTTCGCAGCAGATGAACTGTACCCAAAGATGCAGGACATTCTGTGATGGGGAATAAGAGGTTGCAGTTCCGAAGGCCCCTGACTTTGGTTGTTTACAAAGTTCATTCCTGTTTAGTGTGATCCTTGGTATCTTCCTCATCTGTGTATTCTGATGGTTCTTCCCCTGGTTTTAGGAGTCTACCTACGTAGTCATATTTTTCTGAAAGAGATTTATGATTCCATTACAATTAAATACAGCTGCATTTGCTTGCTAGCCCATACTACTTCAAAATCAATTTTCTCCTACATACTACAGTTCTAAATCTCAATCACTGAAACTGATGGTAATTTAGCAGCAAGCTCAGCCTCCTAAAGCAATCTTTCTACCATTATTTTCTCTAGCTGTGAATACTTTGTTTCCATTCTCTTCCAGCTGATCAGGCAAGATTTATCACCCAAGGGCTAAAAACCAATGCTCTCCAATCCTTCAGCCTGTTTTGATTTCAATTAGTGTGAAAAATTATTCCCCCTCCCTCCAGAGGCATAATTCCTTATTTGTCAGAAATTATTTCAAGACAAACTCATTCAACTCTTTATGTTAAAACAACTCTTAGTCCCAATGATAATTCCATGGCATCCAAAGCCAACAACCTTGAGAGGAGTTCCACCAGCAGAGCAGATGAGATTTGGGAGTGAAATTCTGTGCCAAAGAGCTAACAGAACAGGTTTTTTTGTATAAAAATAAAAGTTTATAAAAGCTGTAGTGATATATAGTGAAATCCTCTGTGGAAGAAAGCACAGCTAAGAGTTGAAATCAATGATCCTTGGGGGTCCCTTCCAACTCAGCATATTCTATGATAATATTACTGTCAACACCTCTTTCAAAGCTTCCCCAAGCCCAAATCAATCATTTTTATTAAAAGCATTTCCTTAAGCTGATAATTTCAGAATTTACCTTTAAATTGCATTTCCCACTCTCTTACACTTTCCATCTGTACAGCATTTAAGTCCGATAGGTCATCATATTCATCTCTGAGTGCATCTTTATCTAGACAGAAAGTTGCTAGTCCCCTGGAGGCATCTCTGCCAGCAAATATTCCATATGGACCCTCTGAAAACAAAAAGACAAAATTGATACCTTCATGTCTTTGCTAATGGTGACCAAAGCTCAGTTCTTTATGTAGTCTGCCAAAGCCATACATGAAATTTCTGCAGTTTCAATGCCATGGCTGTTTGACATTCAACAGCGCTGCAATTCAATCTTTAATATCACTAGGAGATAAAGTCTGCTGAGAGAAGCAGAACCAGGAAAATAGCTTTGAAGGGGTATCTGGAAAAATCCCTGTCAGTTGATGCAAGCCAGTTGATGCAAATTCCAAAGGGACCAGAGGCTGGAATTCAAAAGAAATACACTTCTATTAAGCAACACATTGAATATTTACAAGTCAGATAAGAACAGAAGCAAACTGCATAGACATCTTAATTAGAAATCCATTATTATAAATAAATAGAACTGAAGAGGGCTAATTAATGATTTCACTTCACTTACAGAATCACAACAACTTTCTACATATTTTGTGACATTTCTTACTTCTGAGGAAGTACTCACTTATTTTGGGCAGCAGATCCCCTATACCTTTAGGGTGTAAAGCTCTTGAAACCAGTACAAATGGTGAAATTAGGAATATAAAGCAACTGCTTCTTCTGTGCTTTCTGACCAATGCAAAGCAGCACAAATATCCCAATAAAATTCTGAGCAATGACTGTGAAATAAATATTATTACTGAGAGAAACGGATGGTTTGTAAACCAACAATTTGCAGGGTAGGATCAGTAACTGGCTGTCCCAAATTTTAATTAACTCAAAGAACTTTAGGCATATTGTTATCTTAGATCTTCTTGACCTAAAACCAAATACCTTAAATTCAGATCAATTAAAAAAACAAAACCAATACAAAAAAACTCAACAATCATAACAACACACTTTAACATTTTCTGCATTAACTGCAGCAGCAGGCTTGCTGCAGAGTGGTAAAAGGCCAGAACCTTCTCTGGCTTACCTCCCAACAGTGGCCACCAGCCTGAAGAACAGGCAGCAGCCAGGGGCAAGAATGAACAGCAGCAAGTGGCACCACACTGTCCCTCACCCCTGCTCTGCCTGCTGGAGCAGCTCAGAGCTCCTCTGCAGCAGGAGGAGCCAGGGGAATCATTCCAAAGGGCTGGTTCTGCCCATGTGCTCCCACACCTATCTGCTGCTGCTGGGCCAGCTCCTGAAGCAGGGCAGCTCAGCACCTTGTGGAGCAGGAGAAATGATGTCCTTGATGTCCTCACCACAACTGCTGCTGTCTCTCCACCCCAGAGTGTTGGCACTGTGAGCTGCTCGCAGTCAAACCTGAGAACAGAAGGTGCCAAAGACAATTCTCTCCTCTCTCTGCAAATAAACCAACTGGTTTCAAAGCACCATTTCACCAGAAGCAGGAATTAGAGAATGAACTGTCAGCTGCAAGCCTGCACTGTACCAGTGTGACCACAGTGATGAACAGCATCTCTGTGCTCATCCTTTCAGGCATTCAGCTCAAGAACAGCACCCATGAGATCCATCAGGGATCAGGACTACAGGTGCAGTGCTTCAGGGACACAAAGCCAAGAGGGCTCCCTTTCCTATCTGCATCCTGAATTAGCTATTTATTTGAAAAGCAGGATTTAGAGACTGAAATCAATCCTATGGCAATGCACCCTGCATGCCTGGTCACCTCCAGAGGACAGGCTGAGAGGCAGCAATGACCAGCATCTGCAACACAACACAGAGTTTCTGCAAACAAAAAGTTCTGCTTCAAGCAAAACCCAATGATTGCTCACTCAAGTGATCTGATTTTTGTATAAACAGCTCTTACAAACATCACAATTAGTAACTCCTTAAAAGCAATTAGAAATTGTTACATTCTGACCCCACTAACAGTATTCTGTCCCCATTTTTTCCTTTCTCTGAAGTGTTTCAAGCAAATGTCCATGAATCCTACTATTTTCACAAGGTGTTTTCCAAACTCTGGTAATCAGAGAGTAGCACCCTGCTGCCCTTCCATTCTACCCTGCATTTAGTGGTTTATGGAGTTTCACAGAACCTGCTGAGATGCCACCTCTTGGTCCACCAGCTTGATTCCAATGACTTCTATTAAAAAGAGAATGATATTTATCTGTATCAAGCACTGAACATTCTTAAATCTCAATAACACACTTAATCGAAAGCATGAAAACTTTTAGAATACATCAGCTTGCATTAAAATTAATGGATGCAAAATTTCTGCAAGCATCTTGTAATCTCAGATGCCAGACCAATGATTTTTTCTTTCCTAAAACTGAATTTGAACTTTAAGATTGCAGAATGATTTTTCCAGAAGTATTCAGAAGTCACAGAGGACTCATCAAGCCACGTCCAAGCACTCAGTGGAATGCTAACTTGTAAAAACCAACCTTTGGACTCAGCAGACAGCATTTGAAATTCCAGCTCTGCAAATGGAACTTAGAAATGTGTTCTATTCTTTAATCCTATACTAAAAGGTAAATATTGAATTGTGATTATTAGTAAATGGTACAAGCTTGGCTTCACTTTGGTTCCTAAAGCAGAAGTTCAGCAATCCCAGTATGAGCAAGATCTACTTCAAGATTTAAAGCTTCCATTCAGGTGCTTCTACACAGAGTTTAACTACAAAAATTAATGTATTTATACAAAACATACAGCTCTGGGGTTCTGCTCTGCTAGTCTATTACTCCCTTTTATATAAAAAACTGGTGCAACAGCCTGAAAAAGCCATTTTGCACATCAGATTTCACTGCACTTGGGGAAGTGTCCAGGAAGGTGCCAGCACACAAAATCCCAGGGAGAAACTATCCTTCAGGAACACACTTGAGGTGGAGACATCAGTGCAATCCCAGACACACTCCCACAGAGCTCTTTCATGGCCTGATGCAATTTACTCTGCAGGCCCTACCCACAGTGCTCCCTGCCTTTCCTTTCCTTTTGTCTGCCCACCTATTCAGCCTGGCTGCTGCTGTAAATAATTGATTGCAGCGTGACACGACAGACAGGCTGAAGAGAGGCAGGAACAGTGGCTTGGAGCACAGGTATGGAAACCAAAGCAAGTTCCTGAGACATATCACAACATTTCAGTGGGGTTTTTTTTGCTGTATTCCCAAATTAGCCATTTCACAGTCAAATATATCTTTAAAAAATTCTCCTCCCACTCCTATTTGGGATAGTACGACAACAAGAGTCAGGGCACTGTAAAAACCAATTAAAACATGTCTGCTACAGGTTACTTGGGTATATGGAGGCACAAGTCTTCCCTAAAGGAAAGCTGCTCCTTGAAGAATGCTTTTATTCCCATCATGGCTTTCCATTTCAAGAGCTCTGTTCCAGAGCCTGTGTTTATTTTAGCCCTGAGAGCAGTTATCAAGCCCACAGATTTGCCTGCCTATCTGCACATCTGTACCTCCACGTCCATACTCTGCATTTCCCCTGGATAAAGTCCTCATCTACCTTACAACTCCACCTTGGATAAAGTACACCCTTCTCTCAGCCACAACACATGCAAAACCTTGCTACCCACCACCTGCACAGCTTCACTTCCTTTCAGAATCCAGGTAAGAATTTAGCAGCCTGGATGAATTTGGCATCCTGCTCAGCCTGACACTTGTCTCTATTCACAATAAACCTTGAGATCTGGTAAAGTCAAAGTCTCTTCAGACCACAAAAATACAATCTCCAAAAAGATTTCTGCATCCCCTAGCATTGGTTTGATTCTCTAATGAAAATTTAATTTCTCTTTGCAGACAAGGAAAAGATCTATTCAACTTAAAGCAACATATGAAAAATTTTGAACCACAAAGTTTTTATTTGGAAGTACTGCTTCTAGTCACTTCCTCCAAAACAGGGTGAACTGGATCTTGGAACAGCACCTATTTCAATTTTCAGCCAGTTTGGCCAATAGCTCCCCCAGCAAAAGCTATGCTGGATCCAACTTCAGAGCAGATTCCTGGCTGCCAAGAGGCTCCCTGAGCATTCCAGTTTGGGAGCAGCTCTGTGGAACATCCCAGACTATTGCTCCAACAGCAGCAACGTTGCACACTGACCTTTGGATGGCTCCAAGGGGCAGCACAGGGAATACACCACAGACAGCCCCATGTGGACTTTACAGCTAATGAAGTGAGAGCTGAGCTCAGAATTGTGCTCCTTTTCACAAGGTCCATGTGATCTCTCCAAAGAAGGCACACAGGTTAACAGCAAAGTTCAGTTTTAAAGCAGCAGCTTTGGTTTCTTCATCTAGTCAAAAAGCACTTTGAAGCAATCACCAAATGTGCATCTGTGGGTCCATACAGCCACTGGAAATAAACCCCAGTTTTGTTTCAAGTTTAGATACTCATGGATAACATTCATTAATCTGCAGACAAGAATAAGGACTGATCTCCCTTTAATGTGAGCAAGGGCAAAGGGAGACAGGCTACAAAATTATTAACAACTCCATTATTCTATGGCTTTGCTTACTTTCTCCTCTCCACACTGAAGTGAAACATTCACTGGCTGTTTCAAATTTTGTATCTGAATCCTGACACGTGTTTGCTCAGTGTTGCATCTTTCATGAGAGAATGAAAAAGCTGCAAGTTACACTAAGCCATTTGGAGATGTAGCTTGAAAGCAGAAGGTTTCTAATAACATTTATCACTGGGAATTCAAGGTGACATAATTTTAACTTTACTGCTCCAGATTCACATGAAAGGGAAGATGTGGGTCAATTTTAAGTTACAGCCTGCATGGAAAGTATGTGTCCTTAGGAGACCAATCCACATGCTCAAAGGGAACTCTGCAGATGTGAAATGTAGATCTAAGATGGGAATTGCCCAGAACAGGGGTCTAAACCTGACTCCTCAGGCACCACAAGGCCAGAGAGTCTCACACTCTCTTTTGCTTACTTGCTTTTTAACTCTGTGAAAAAATAGTGCAAGAATCAATGACCCAATTTCAACTAAAGGGGCAGACAACAAGCACTGGTAAGAGAGCCCACAGGCCAGCAGTCAGGAGTTTTTTAGAAGATAGCTGCTTTCTTAAGGATGACCT